TATCATCGAAGTTTGGAGTTGAGAAATTAATCTTGGCACAATTAGTATTGGAATGAAGTAATCTGGGAAACCATTTTAGTCCCAAGAGACAGACGTCCTTAATTATGTAGTGAATTATGCTTGGGACTCTGCTGTTTCTCGGAAGATTTCTATAACCTCGTTGATATGGTATTGCAGTGTCTTTAGGAATTATCACTAGAAACTGCCCGTTCCGGCCAGCTGAGCTTATCGCAGACACTCGCATATCCCACGCCATTTCTCAATTTTCAATGACGCTCAGCAAACGTAATTTCGGTGGCCTGGCAAAGTACGACAGATGTGAAAAGTATGCTAGAGTGTGCACTGTACAGGCAGCATGGGTCCAGAAGTCGCGCATTGTATGAAAGACGTGCATTGCGACTTTATATGAGCACGTTGACGGTCCGCTCGTGCGAACCGGTGCACTACAGCGTAGACCAAACCACTACAGCAAGTGTCGCGCGGGAGGCGATTTAATCTTCTCGCGCGACACTTGCTGCGTACGTACTGCGAGCCCAGGGGCATTGACAGTTGCGGTAACGGCCAATCTTCGTGCTCACTCCGGAAACGCCAAGGTGTCGGAGCTTCCGTACGTTTCCAAATCGTTGATGGTGTCAACCATCGTCTAGTGAGGGTCGTTCTCGTACTTGATCGTCAATCTATCACCTTTCTATCTGCGTACACTCCGCAGAGTGGATGTTCTGTGTGCGAAAGGAGAGTTCTGGTTTCTGCTTTTTGAGGAGATGAGTGGGATACGTAAGAAACTATCGTTATCGCGGGTGACCTTTGTGAGCGCATTGGCACCACCAAAGGTGGCAGAGTTCTGGGTCACGTAATACTGGTTGTGAGTCTTTCCTCGAATATAGTCATTTGCATGGGTTCACCATCGAAAATACAAGTTCACTGACAGCCTCACCCACACCTGTTCTGCTCCTCACCTTCTACTGCGCTAGAACCGAAACACAAGTGCACGTTTACCATCAGGTAACGCGATCAAGGGCTCATGGAAGATGCAGACGGTCGCCACATAACACCACTAAATTGCACGTTCAATGTCGAGAATCATGTAATGCGATTGAATTAAATGGAAGCGTCTGTCGATGCCATGACCACGGTTGCTCGCCCTGGAAATTCCGATTGGCGAGCCATCGGCGAGCAATCATAATTGCCATCAATTAATCAATCATCAACAAGAAGAAGAATAGGAGCACAACAACATCAACAGCAACAACAAGAAGAGTGCATCCAGCCAAACACGTCTGATATCTCGAATTTCCTTCACACAACTCTCCTGTGGCCTCTTCCTGATAATAACGAACGAAATCGCTTCTCCATTTTTCTCAAATTTCTCATTAGTCGTAATAAACGTTGAAGACCCGCTCAGATTTGTAACGGACCATCGGCACTTTGGCGTCATACGTGGTCGACTTATGCTTCAACGTAAAAGGCACGCTGTCCTCGGTAGACAAGCCTGAACTCAGTGAGGTGGCTTTCTTCAGAAGCTAGAGCTCTGGGTGACTGGATTCAAGTTAAAGGCACCGCTCACGATAATTTAGGGGTATCCGGTATTTCACACATAGTGATAGGTAAGGCCTAAATTAGGGCAATGGTAAAGCATAAAACGCGAAAAACAGCGAAAAAAAAGAACGTGGGGATTGGACGAGTTTAATAATGGAAAAAGGGCGGTTAAGGGAATTTTCAGGCGAGTAGACGAATGCGACTTAATGTCTGCCATTGCACACAACACGACCGAACGGCTGATTTTGGCTTATTCGTTAATATTATTTATTCTATTGACGATATTAAGATTTTGAGATTGTTGTGCCTGATCCTTTTGATGACGGCTGAGAATAATTTACTAGAACTGAATAGAGCAGAACATTGATCAAATAGTAGAAATACAGCCGAANATTGCCAAATGGCTTATCGATTTTTCACCAACTTCGCTCCAATGCGAAAGTGGTGAACGGCAATTAGATTTCGTAGTCAGCCTAGGGAGGGGCGGAGGGCGACCGTGGATAACTCTTCGGCCCCTTACTGTGCCCTATCCAGACCGTTTTCCGACCTCATTCCTGCACAATTGGTATCAAAGGGGGCGTCGAATACAAACCATGTGCAAATCTCCGAAACCAATTTTTCGTGAACTGAGCCTTTAATATAAGTTGGTAGCATGTTCGAAATGGCTCAGTGGAGCTTGTTTTTGCGTAAAAATGGAGATTAGCAAGGGAACTTTTTGCGCAACGTCATATTTGAATCAGAAAAGAGATTGAATAAGATTCAATATAGTTTTCAACTCAAGCCGACAACGGGGGGATACTAGGTCGATATGGTTCCTCATGGTAAGATGTATACCAGGTTTTCTAACGCTAACCTAAAATTTACCTCCCAATTTTGGGAAAGGATTCTCTTAACAGATTTACGGTGTTGTTTCCTTGTGATGTCGTGGGAATACGTTGTACTCATACCCTGGTCAATCCGTGGAATCGAATAGGAAGACCAATTTACTTATTCTGAACCTCCACTAGCTACACGCAGTCCTTTTGCATGATACTTTGGTGACTCCCCCTCCACCCTTTACACTCTATATTGACTATCTGCTCCCCTTCCCTCACTCCCCATCACCACCAAAGACTGTCTTCAGAGTAGGTACTATTCTACTCTTTCCAGTTCTAAGACAAGGAAATTAGACCATGGGAAAATTGCAAATAGTCGCAATACTGCATTATACTTGTGCACCCATCGTACTTTATCCTAATGAAGACATGAGAAATGGTAATAATAAGTGAGCATAATAAATTGCGTTCAGCTGCAATCGAAAGTGAAGCACCGTGGTTGCCAAACTCTCAGAAGTCCACACTGAGAAAAGAAGTTCCTCAAGATCAACTCCTCTGTCAATGGTTGGAAAACGGAAAGAATGCTGGCATCCAATTAAGTCCACATCTTCCGAGTGAGCCGCATGCCGCTTTCAGCTCGGACAGTGCAAGCTTTCTAGTCTTACCTCCTAATCCGGTCGGTGCGATTTCACCTATCGACGGTTGCATGGAACAGGTTAGTGTTTTCTTTTTGGTTCATCTTCTACGTAGCCATCGCTTTCCTAGGGGAGCATTAGATGCGCTTCTCTGCATTTCCAGAGTAGCTCTGAATTGACATCAACTAACGATACTAGTACAAACACTTGAATCGATTCCACATCCAAAATACACGCTTTTCTCAAATCATATCCATAGAAGAGGGATACCTCCATTATGCTCTGATAGTGAGAGATACGCAATAGAAAAGTCTCGAAAGGAGAGGTACTGGAGGAGAAGTCATGCTTCGGATTCAATTTGTATGATTGCGCGGAGAACGCTTGAGTAATTTATGTTCTTCATTGCGACTCACTTCGCAGCGCGAACGTGCGTTGCGGAGCACTATACAACACAATCATACCTATTAGTTGACAAAGAAAATAAGAATTAGCAGTCTTCTCAATCTTGAGCCCGACCAACGCAATGCACTTGCCCCGTATGTATGCGTAATCCTCAATTTCTCCTGAAAGAACTTCTAATAAAGAAAAGCTCTCAATGTGAAAGCGAAATTTGTAACAAACACCATGCCGCTCTTTGTCACTGATGATTCTGATACCTTCACGTCCCAATACATCCACTAAACTTTTAATTGACGTTCCAGATAAAAATTCTAAGTGTTTGATAGTTGAACCGTGTATAAAGTTGCGTTGACGCCTCCATTCTTTGAAACGTATTTACTAGACAAGCAAAAACTAATAAAAGATTGAGATTAAGAATAAGATATAAACAAATCACATGTCCCCTGACGTCCCGTTGATTATCGAGCGGACACCAGTAAACTCTTCACTTTTCCCTGTCGCGAGCTGTTGTAGTTCAGTGGTCCCTACTTTCTCAAGGGATACGATGTATACCATTTTTTTGTTCAGAGCTTTTTTAATGCAAGTCTGGCCATCACGCCGGCGGCCGTACAGATCACGCCTGCCCCTTCATGAGATCTAGTCAACTACCGCCAGCGGTCATCGAAGAATTGCACGAGATGCTTCTGTTCTTTAATTTGGAATCATGGATGTTTCGTTGACGGAGCTTGGAACTCTAAATCGCCTTCTGCATCTGCTGCTCTGCGTGCTTAAGGTAGTTCCAAGTGCCGTCTGCTTCACAGTGCCTCAGAAGAAGTTGAATGCATGCTCATCCTGCTTGCGTAGAATCCAAGTGAGATAAAGGCATACGTCAAAGCAGAAAGGACTGCAGTGTAGAAAAGTCGAGCGCGGAGCCGAACGTTCGTTTCGTTCTCACTTTTCGTCGATGATACTTGACGCTCACCCAATGCGTTTTTAGTTCTGCTCAGCTCCACGGCTGTGCCAATCACAGTTTGACTTCTCAACTTAGATACACGGCAGGATTCGGAGATGTTCGTTCCGTTTAGTGTAAAATAAACATCACGTTTCGATTTATCTATCACGAACATCGTTTCCGTTAAGCTCAGTGGCAATCGGATTGCTCCACAAGTGCTGGTAATTCAAAAAGCATTAATTCTTTCTGCTCAACGTTCGTCGTCGTAAATACGATATCGTCTGCAAAGCCAAGATTGATTAAGTTGTTACCGTCGGCTTTCACCCCAAGTCTTCACTTTATATTGAAGTTGACGTTCTTCAAGAGCGTCATTAATGAATTTGGGCGAAATGGTATCACCCTAGTCAAACCTTCTCCTAACGCCTTCTAGAGTGTGGAACTGCATGATTCCGATCGAGATGTTGTAGAGCTCACAACGCACCTTCATATACTTATTGGGAACCCCTTATGTCCAGGCCTTCACCTGTCGCTTCTGTCTCAACTAGATCGAAGGTCCCTTCAAATACATGGGCGTAGGACGTAACTGCATCCCGTATTTTCATACTTCAATGAGTCTCATGAGAGGGTTGGGGCGGGGGATGGGGTGGTCGATGTAACCTCGAAGAGTTACAAGCTCGTCGTACGTCAGGTTGTGGTTGCCATTAGCTCGCTTATTCCCCATTGGTGTATCAACTCCAGAACTTTCAGATGAGAGCGTCGCTCGGCAACGCCTGTTTGCCCTCTCTCTCCGTCAATGTTCTCGATAACGTAATCTTCACTCAAACTTGTAAGAGGAGCGAAATTATTGATGATGGTCTTGAAGCTCATTCCTTGATTTCGCTCCTGCTTCTGGCACATTCGGAACATTCGATTGAAATTGACGTAATGGTTTCGTTGCGACCTACCCACCGGATGATTGTCATGTCCACTACAAATAAAAGAGATTTTTTAACTCAGGAATGCCATAGAGGGTGTGGGCTAATATAGAAGACATAAAGCCTTTTACCCCGATCATTCCATTTTGTTCTGTGAGCCCTGTTCAAAAGATCTGCATCTCCTCTTCTGAAGCCAGCTGCACGCCGTATTCGAGTCTGAGGAGGAGCTGCTCTTCGTAGTACTCGACCGCAGAGGTGTCGGCAGAAATCCTTACCCACACATGAAAATCGATTTGAACGAGAGCATGGCGGCTATAATCGAACTTTTGCGCTTAAGAGTTCCCTTAACTGCAGCTATAACAATATTCGTTGACTACTCACCAACATTGAGCTACAAAGAGGAGGAGCAGGAAGCAATTATATGTTACTGGAAAGGTTCTACGAGAGGGATCATACTTTTTTCGAGGTCACGTCGGTGATTTCAAAGAAAAGATTGGCCCTAGAAAAACGGCTGAAGAGCTACGTATCGGAACTGATGGGCAGAATATATTGGGTAGGTCGAAATACTGTCCAGGTTGATATGTCGACTTACACCATAAACCGTAACCCATAAATCGAGAAGATCCAATTTGCGATGGTTATGGGAGGCGCCTGGTAAAGAGTTCCGCAGTCAAACAGACCACATCATCTTGAATCAAAAATTTTGCCTGACTTACGTCGCTGCTGTTCCAAAGCTCTATAAAGGAGCGAGCAGCGCTCGTAGGCTTTAGAATTTGTTTTTTTATCGCATATAGAGTGAGCTGCGGAGTTTAGTAGATGGAGTCTCAAAACCGTCACCGATTGAAACTACTTCGCTTCCCTTGCGAGTTTCTTAGGAAATTTCGTTATGTAAAACATCGAGAACATCGATAAGGAATAAGATCGGTCCGACGAACATGACGCTGATGTTACGAAAGCAGGGAGTCCACAACTAGCCAAAAGACGACTCTCTTCAAAGACACTCGAGCTGATATTCCAGCATGAAATAGCACGAGCTAAAAGCCCCTTATGAGCTGACGCAGGTCCGAACTCCTCCTAAGGGAGCGATAAAGGAGAACTCAAAAAAGCACGGCAGCAGTTCTGACTCAAGCCACCGAAATGGTTAAGAACATTTCCAAATTCCAAGCTTCGCCAAGTGCTGGTACTGAGCTGAGACAGCATTTCCAAATCCCAGGCTTCGCCAAGTGCTGGTACTGAGTGAGACAGACGGTCCGGATAGTACCAAACCGAAAAATTTCGAAAGTCTCCCATTGCACATGAGCTATGCTTTCCAGGCGTTATCTGTCAGAGTGCAAAATGGTCAGTTGTGGAATACTAATAGCAAGACTGTGTTGCTGTATAAAAAGGAGGTCCCACTTTTTTTTCAACTACCGCCCGAACTCTCTGTCTAGGCCTGCAATCTATAAGCTTTTCAAAGGAGCCATCCTCAGAAGGATTGCCACAATAGTAGATAGATGCAGAACAGAGATGGAAGCAGACAGGGTTCTGGAAAGTATTCAGTACAGTCAATCACATGTGCATTGTCGCAAGACTCATAGAAGTATCGCGAGAGTACATGATGACGCTGTGTCTGGCGTTCACAAATTGGAAGAAGGCTCTTGTACCGTCAAGACGGAAGCAGTGTTCAAAGCAGTACACAAGGATGCTCCGTAAGTTCTGCGACAACTTCACAACCAAGACTTCGTCTTGTATAAGAAAGTCACTATCGAGTGAGTTTTCGACAAGACCAAAATGTTTCGCTCAAACTTCCCAGTGCAGCTCTCGAGAATACCATGCGTCATTTGGAATGTGGCAACTTGGAAGTGAAAGTTGATGGCCGCTACATACATTACCATCGCTCAGCAGGCATGACACCGAACATCGGGAAGACGGCGCTACTGCTGCTCGAGTTCCACGGCGCTTGTGGAGAGATCGATTCGAGTTTGAACCTAACAAAGACGATTCTATGAATGCTCTGTCTGTTAACGCTGTATGAGAAAAATGTCTTCAAATGCTCCAGTTATGCGTAAGGGTCGAAGGTCAACATGATGGACGACCTAGCTCCGGGACCGGGCAAGAGGAAACTCACGGCGCAAAGAGCATTTAAGAACATTGAAGTGGAGAAGGGAATCCCAAGCTCCGCGCTCCGTCAACGAACATCCATCGAAGATCAGGGTATCTTGCTTATACCAAGGAATCGAAGATCAGATGGGTCGAACATCTGCAATGTCGGGGTTGTCATAGGACTCAGGCGGTGAATGGTTAGATCTCTTAGAGAGGTAAACGTCCACGCAGTCGCCAACCTGATGTTTAGACTTGCTCCAAAGCGACTTTGAACGAAAGAAGCGGCATATCTCGCGTTACTGATTGTATCCCTCGGGAAGCAATATCGGGCCGGTCAGAGTTCCACACGAAGGCACTGGACGATAGGAATGCTATGACTCATATCTTTGAAGAAGATCCACTGTATTACTGTGGCTCGCGACAGTAGGAACACTACTGATGGCGCTGATCAAAGGGGCGATAGTGATATACAGTCAGCGCGTGCCACGAACAGATTGCAAGGCTCTGGCATGGAGGCTGGTATACTCCGAGTGGCTAGCTAAGCTACAAGAGAGAACAAGTAGCCTAGTTACTGGAAGCTGCCCTGAATCGCCTCTTCAGTGAAGAAGATCGTAGATATACAGTCATGAGGACTGACCTTCCTAAACTTATCACACAACGACTTTTGCTTTCGTTTTCTCTGAAATCAACTTTTTATGAGGGATATAGGATTGATCACTACACTCGGAATGTTTTTCAAATGTATCTCTCAGTAACAATGAAAATTTGATTTGTTCTAGGGAAACGATATTGACTACTCGCTTTTCGACGAATTCTTTGTGAGAACGTAATAAGTGACAGTGATAAATGTAATGGTGGTACAGAATTATTTTGCTATGACCTTTTATAACCTCGGATTTCTAATTTATTCCCTCTGTGCTTTATCTGTTTGATTTAGTACTCAACGTGGAAAAACACTGAAACTATCGTTGTAAGTCGTGCCTTGTTCTTGTATCCGTGCTTTCAATTGATGTTCTTTTTTCCTTTTTTACTCTACTACGTTGATCAATCAGTCAATGTGCAGCTACCTAAATAAGCACACTTTGTTGTTGTTGCTCAAATAAAATATGCACCTGACGTCATTGTTGGCTATGAAAAAGATGTAGGCAAAAATGTAGATTTTTGACGACTGCCTGCTCTTTTTGATTGAACAGCTTAAAAGCATCATAGTTCACATTAGAGATTAGATTTTCTCCTAGGATAATCCTGTGGTCCCTTGGATAACACATGGAAGATTACCGGATCGAAAAACGACCTCGAAAACCTGGCTGACGTACTACCATTATGATGCCCTGTTAGGGCTGCACTATTCACAATGAAGCGCTAGGACGCCGGCGAATATAACACTCACATTCCTTTGATAGCTTCTTGGCATATTTTTCGGATTCTAGAACATTTTTGGGAAGAAAAACAATTATATTTTGAAATGCATCTACCATTTAATAACACGTCTGGCCAATCATAGTTGGGACTTGGCTAAGCTTGCGTGTGAACAGCCCGTTTTACCCCTGCTCATCCCTCTCAAATTTTTTCTTAGCCTCCAGGCTTTCGTTGAACCGAGTTATGATTTTTGTACAAAGTACTATAGGAAGATCCAACCAACGCGGGTAGATCTCCTCAATTTCATTTGTTGAACCACTACTCTCCATTACTCATCTTTCACAGCCTCTGAGTAATGAAACCAACTTAGAATGTTCCATCATTGTCACCCTACTCTTGTGCATGTGTCGTCCCCCGTGGGTAAAGCTCCGCTGAGCTCAAAGTACCCTGTTGATCTTGCTTTATGTCTTACCACTCCCGAACTCGACCAGACTTCTCCAGGTAATTTTCCTGGTAATATCTAATTTCGTGGCAGACAAAGAAACAAACGCGAACGAGTTGTGTTTAATAATAAGTATTGTTGTTGCAATTACGTTGCTATTAAAGGGGTGATCTAATTTTAGTTGGAAATCAAATTTCCTCTGGCATTATTGTTCCATAATACTGCAGCAACAACGGCCAAGCGTAGACACCGGCGTTTAAAGGTGCCGTTAGTAAAAACAAGATACATAGGGTTAGCATAGATGAGATTCCTTTCACAGTGCTCACGAGTACATCATAATATTGTCCATCTGAGAGTGAATAAATATCTATTTGGATTTCAGAGCTAGTGCTGACATCGTTGAAAAAGGTTAGGAGCCATCTTAACCTATATTGCAATCAGATGACACATTTTTCATGCTGAGAAATCGTGCCAAGAATGGAAATGAGATTCTTCCGATAAACAGCAGTGAAGCTTGATCAACCATTATAGAAAATCACCTAGACGGATATATGATGCTCATAGGTCATCGCATTTGGTAGGCTTGATCGTAAGAAGATTTGCGTTATAATTGCTGAATCGATTGAAGTCGAATCCAGGTGGTTCATACGGATAAATTGTGTACATCACGACTGACACCATCACCAGAATGGAACCAAGCGAGAAGAAGAAGCCAGGTACAAAGTCGAACAGTAACCACGATCCAACTGCTGCCCCAATGATGGCAATACTCTGGAATAAGGCAATTCAGTTGAAATGTATATATGTAATGCAAACCTAATAATCCGTTCAGACGTAAGGAACTCAAAAAAATAATTCAAGGGCTGCTAGGTTCACTTATGTTTGATATCTGTAATTCATCCAGTTGTACTCTATCCCCTTGATATCCGGTTTCAGTGACTATTTGGTATCACGATTTTTCCGTTTTCTATTCCTCCCGCGGTCGGTGGCAACTTCTGCAGACATAATGCACTTATAATTTATTAAAGTCCTATACCTCCCCAAGACTACAAGCAGCTCGGAGTCACTCGATGAACAATCGCTTTTCATACTTTCTCCGATTTCAGAGACAGAAGGTTTTTCTGATTGCAACTTTTTTGAACACGATGGGTGGATATCTGCTAAGTTAAAACGAGAAATCGGAGTAAGCGCTCCGTTGTAGCTATTACTTAGCACCAAGACTAGTTGCCAGAACGGGAGTAGCCAGCCTGGCTACTGCGGTCCAAGGATCACCCGATCACAAGATCCCTCGTACTGTTCTAGCTAATCCCATTTCAGAGAGCATCGCAGAAGCAATCACGTCTCAGTTGCCATGTTCGCATACAATATCTCTTACATTTGAAATTGGAAAGTTCATTCACTCTAGTGGGTGCACCTATAGCAATGATAAGCAAGGCTTCATCTTAAATCATGACAATAATTCAATTTGTTAGGCTGTAGACTCAAAAGTGAAGTATGAAACTGGTTTCACTACGACGATAAACTCAGACCTGTGCGTATGCTTTCAAAATGTTGTCTGCGTACTTGATCACAATGGAAATAAGTAGTCCTCCGACAGAGTTCAATATGGTCAAACAGACAACCGTGACATCCCAGCCACGGAAGAAGCCATCTGTAATAAACAAGCTGCGGCTTGACATTGTGGGTAATTCTGGTGTGCGTCGTATGACATGGCTTCGTTTGTACTAATATTTCCGCAGAGCAACGCTCACGTTCGTAATCTTTGACATATTGGGCGGAAGGTATCAAATATGAGTGATGAGTGTATAAATAAATAAACAAATAAATAAATATTATAACAACACCAGCCTGTGAAGATAAGAAGCGAATGGTCTTTGTTTTGCAGCTGTTCGTTTGTTACGGAATGTTGAAGAATTGTTATGAAAACAAAGCTATCGTATTGACTACCTGTGTAAATTTGTTTTCCATCATAAATCCACATTGACGCGAGAGATATTGGGATTCCAATAAGCGCTAGGCGAATGTTCTGCATCCATACAGAAGTTGTGCTTTCCTTGAGCACTTTTTCCAAATATACACCTACAACTACTGATGCAGTTGCATTTCTACATACGACGTAAAAAANAAAAAATCCCAAAGTTGAGCACTACAGCTTCCACTTGAGTTGATAGGCATCGTCCGACCTTTTGATAAGTGCATTGATTCTAGACAGAAAATACTGCAGAAAATGGCTATATGACATCTGTACCTCAGAGGCGATCGCAGCAGCCGCTAGAAGTTTACTGAGGACATTTCACGATGCAGCAGTCTAGTAAAAAGACTATGAACAAAGTTTTTGTCCACGGTCATATTCGACCAGTAATCGTTCTGCTTGCTTGTGAATCGATGTTTTAGGGGCGATGTCGTTTATAAGGGGGAAGCGATGTATGTGCCAGCCTTCGACCATTACTGTCGCCATCGTAGACGTGAAAAAAGTGTTCGCAAATTTCCCCCAAGCAAATTTCGAAGGGATCATCAGAAGAGCAAGGTAATGTTAGATAGCTCCTCAAGTTACCTATACTTTTCCTGACATTTGTTACCCTTTCCAATGCACATATAATTTGCGATAGGGTAGCAGAATAGTGCTTGTTACACATTGCCACATGCTCATGTTTCGTATGTTGAATCGTGAATCGACAACGGCAAAGCGTTCCACCCTCTCAGCGTCGACTCATCCGTGCCAGATTCCCCTAGAAAGATGGAAGCGCTGAATTGTGATCGCCTGGCCACCGCGACTCATTGTGTGGTCCACATACACATTCAGAAAAGGACTCTTTAATGAAAATCTAAAGCAGAGGAGCATCCTAGATGAACTTTCCGGGATACGAGCAACAAATCCTAGGCAGCAAAATGTGACTTGACTGTCTATTTCTCGAAACAAAAATCACTCTGCGGCTATGTCTCCGCATTTCGAATTCTTTCACAAACATTTGCAGAATCAACACAGAGCTTGCGTAAGTGATCTGCTGTCATGTCAAAGATTGTATGAGTATCGCCAAAACCTGTTTCTTTCTCACCTCAAGAACAATCCCTCGAGCCTTGAGTTTGAAGGAATGTTTGGGTGATAGTATAATGTGAAAGTGTTGAAAAGTACGACATACCGGCGAATGCTGAAGTGAAACACATCACTATGACACTGAGAAAGCCAAGGATCGGCTTCTGCTCTATGTTTTCTGGTGTATCCAAAGGAGCGTACACGAGCTGCACGTCTACCACTCCTGCAAGTATTGTGGATATTTCTTCGAAGGCTACAGAACCAAATGTTATAAGTATAATGTTATAAGGTAAAAGTTTCCCTCACTGTTACATTCGTTATACATCAGTGCAGTCACTTCAGAATTTAGGTTACAGTAGGTCTACAAAAATGGTAGGACCAGGATTGAGGAAAGGGTTGGGCTAAGAGTATAGAAAAACAAAAAGAAGATCGAAGAAGAATGGTAGATTGATATACATAATAGTAAAACCCTACTGCTGTCGAAGATATAGACATGTGCAAAAGCACAACACGCATTAGAATATATTAGGGTGTCCATGAAATTCGTTGGCCATTTGTAAACAGGGTCGCGTCACGCAACGCGTTGTGATTTTGCATATTACTTTCGCAATACTGAAAGTACTTGCGATGGGCTATCTTCTGAGCCAGCTAGCTCTAGAGTTCCTTTCCTGCTCTTCCCACAATGAAGCAGTGAAGATGAGTGATAGTCATCACCACCGCCGATGTTTTTGGGCTACTACAATATGGGCATCTAGAGACGTCAGGCCATAATCAGGATGCGTCAGCAGTTTGGTGATAACACCCCTTCCGAGAAATGGATGTCAAAATGGTGGACTCGCTCCAGCGATGGAAACTATGGCATCGAAGATATGCCGAGGTCCAGTCGCCCAGCCACCGTCATCGTCAACGACAGCATCCTAACCAACAATGCCCAGTGACGGCAGAGACCCTCTCAAAGAATTGCAGGAGGTCAAGGTGAGAGCTACTGCCTTGTCCCAGACCCAGATCCGTGGTTGCTCTGGGACAACGCGCGCTCCCACAAGGCGAGAGATACTCAGGCAGTCCTGGAAAGGCTGGTCATCAAGATCACGCATCCACCGTATAGCCCAGACATCAGTCCATGCGATTACCATATCTTCCAGTCTATGCCAAATTTCTTGACGGAAAACAGCTGAAGAACGAGCGCGACCTTGAGGACGTGATCGAGGACTAGGCCGAGTCGCAGCTGGCCGGCTTTTGGGAGGATGGATGCCTCAATCGTTGGCGAAAGGTGGTGGTATGCATGAAGATTATATAACATCATGGACCAATACGTTCAACTTGGTGAGTTATCTTTTCAAGCTCGGAAAAACGAATGGCCAACGAACATTATGGACAGCTAACAAAAACACAAATGCTGGGTTCCAACTGTACCTTTCTGAATGCTCTATGATACCTCATATCTTTGTTGAAAATTTTCTAGCTTCTCAAGGCTTTTTTGTAGCACTGCTCTATGAAACAAGTTTTTGGTGCCTCTGATAAGCTGCTGTACAATACGCCCGCTTACCTACAACAAGTATTACGAGGGCTATCCACTGCTTGATAGAGAGCTTCTTGCCCAAGAAGAAATACATGAACATGGCTGTGGTGAAGATCTTCATTTGATAGGCAACCTAAAAGAACGTTGGACATTAAGCAAAACAAAGTTCAGCGTATCTGCAAAAAAATAATAATGATGTCAAGTCTCTAGTAGAGCTTTCTGAAAGCTAGGTGAAAGCTAGGTAACGTTTGACTGCAGACCGTACCGTAGTTCACGCCCTTGTATGTGCAATACCCGCGATCAGTTGAGGTTACTGTGGAAAGGATAACGCAACAATCATTCCCATAGAATTATTCAAGAGAGGAAAGATGCAGATGAATTCGGAAGTACGACTAGATCAATTAGAAACCGATCATCCTGCTCCGTGTACTGATCTGCTTCATTGAAAACAACTGCGTATAGGCCTGACCCCTTCAATCATAAAGTAAAATCTAAGGATGTTTGTGCGGTGGTGCACATGAGTGCGATTTCAACCAACACTCTATCTCAGCCAGCTAAGCCAGCTAGCTTATTGGGTGACTAAGCGAATGAGAAGGATCGAAACTCGGCGATAATCAAACTACTTCATGAAATCATTAAATTAGTTCACGATGTGAAATTTGTAAAGAAACTTCATACCACTGAGCAGTTTTCGAAGCAAAAGAAGTGAAATACAGCCTTCTTGAAGTGGGATGGGAACCTCAGGGAGACAAGATAGTCCGTATGATTTTTGAGGTTCGGCAAGCCGAGTAGCTATCTTTGAGAACATGTGATTGTTCACTAAGAGTTGTGTATGAAAGCATCGGGTAGAGTACGCAACTTTTTCCTGAACAACAGGAATCTTACCTGGAAAAGGAACTGTATGCTTCCGTCCCGCATATCAGGCTTCAGAGCAAATCACTCACTATCGTTTTTCTATATCGTTTTTGTGTGTATGTTATAATCTTTATTTACGAGAAATAGATATAACACAAATCAACAGTCTTATATGAGCCCGCCCATGTGTGACTTTTTGCAGCAATATACTTCAATGAGCTTTTCTGAAATTAGTGGTGCTGCCTGGAATCTATAAGACTTATGTCACATGAATACATGCATATACAGGGTGTCTCAAAATTATGGGCGTCAATTCAAGGCAATGTACTTAAACCTTCTCAGCTGAGAATGACAATGAGATCTATATACACTTCTGCTTATATCATGTACTACAGCTTGCTACAGTCACATTCAAAATAACTCCTATGAACGTGGATACGGGCCCAAAGTTCGCCCCCCCCCCGAACACTCGCATGTTGCACGCAGTTATCCTCATCCATTTCTTCCCAACCGTTTTTGAATCTTGCTTTCTGGGTCTCCAAACTGAGGCTGAAAACCCGATAGGTATTCTTCTAATCAGGGACTATACGGAGGAGTCAAGCGAGTTATGATCTGGAAAGCAAGATGGCTCTCCCTCTTCGCTAATGAAGTTTGGCAGCTAACGTCGACACCACTCCCGGGCAAGTTCGGTTCTGGAGTACCATCTTGCTGAGAGAACTAAAAGCTGTTTCAGGAAGCGGAGTTGGATCAGTCGTTCATTACGTCCTTCAGTATGACATTTGGGCACAGGTCTTTCTTAATTTTTACGCCGGCACTAATAAACAACGAGCGTCTTACCATTGTCAGTGACACCCTCGAAAAATATCATTTTGCTGTTCATATTGTAGCTTTTTTTCGATTGTGATTACACGTTCGATGATTAGACACGGAACACGATTGTTTTATTTTTTGAAGAATGGTTCTCGCGTAAAAGTTTTTGAGTTAGAGAAAATGATGCAAGGATGGTGTCTAACTGAACCGAGCCAACGTTCTCAACTTTTTTCACCCTACACTGTTTGTTGAAACCGGAAATGAAGTGGGATTTCTGCCTACGATAGGAATGCAATAAAGCTTTTGTATGACATTCTTTCATCGCAATAACTCCGACGAGCCGTACCGTTCGCCACTGGATCAAAAAAAGACTACTCGATCTCCTGTTAGACGTAACGAACGACATAGAACCATTGCTGATTGTGTAGTATTGCTCATTCGTAATTACAGTGGTAGGGAAGAGGTGGTGGCAAGTGGCGCACTATCCCACACGCCTGGTCACGAGTTCGAATCCCGTATCCATATCCACCTATGCTAAACAAGCCTTCCATGGATACGGGATTCGAACTCGTGACCAGGCGTGTGTAATAGTGCGCCATTTGCCACAGCACCACCTCTTCCCTACCACTGTAATTACGAATGAGTAATACTGCACAATCAGCAATGGTTCTATGTCCCCTCAGTGAGGATTGATCAACGCCCAAAAACAATGCCCTTTCCTTCTAGTTTCGGTGATGCTCAAAGCATTAGCAAAAGTCGAAGCATGAGCGAGCTCGATTGTGGCATAGCCACAAGCTCAACTTTGAATTGCGAATGTGGATTGGACAAAATTAGAGTATAGTATCAGCAAAACTCAACTTTCGGGTTGTGAATATGGCGTTGGCAAAACTCAAATCTAGTACGAGCAAAACTCAGCTTTTGAATGACATGTTACAGTCACTCCGTCACCGCTGACGGAGTGACTGTAACCTGTCATTCAAAAAAGTGACTCTGCGTTTTTGTCATTTCCTCTGCTCTCTCTTCAGTTGGCATCTCACTTGCAGAAAGATAGAGCGCATACGGAATCCCTCATTGCATACAACCGCAATACAAACTGTTGGTCTCAGACTGATTCATTATGACTGCAGACCTTCACGTGATATCGTCTTAGGGTTTACTAACATAAGGAATAAGCTTAGAATACTGGAAAAGCCAGGATTCCGTGCAATACCACACGGTTACTTCAGCAATGTCAGGGTTCTATGCAGATGCAACGAATATAAGGCCTCCACATCTTTCAAGGCATAAAACTGAGCAGCCATTAGCATGCCTTGACAAACTTCACATCCCACTTATTCCTCAATTCCGATTCCTTTATATCCGAATATGAATTCAAATGGTCTTCCTTACTTATCCATGTTCGGTTCGTGTATCCGTTCACATGTCCATCCCTAAAGAGCGCTCAGGAAGAGAGTACAGACAGCGAGTGGACAGCCCTCCTTCCGTCGGCAGACACGACACGCAGAGACTGCTTCTCCGTCTGAATCTCTCAGCGAGAGAAATTCAGGTTGAGAACAGCCCTGTAATGGGTGTATGTCGTTTGGCGCGATGGGCGGGGTCGCGCCGCCCATTCGAGGCGGTTGCGGGGTGGACAACTCGCTCAGATCGGGCAACGCTCTGTCTGTTCTCTCCAGCTGATAGAAGCGCGATCAATGAGGCTGCTACTATGAGACGTCGAATTGCGGACCTGCTTGTATTCTGCTTACATACACCATCCATTTAGCGCTTTTGCGTGATTTTCTATTGCTTCTTGTGCTTTCACGAAGCCCTTTCTCTTCTGAAGGACATTTGTTAGTCATATTATTCATTTCTATTGTTACCTTTATTGAAGTGCGCATTATATCAGGGTAATAATCGCAAACAGAATGACGCTATGTTTGTGAATGAGAATGTTTAGGAACGAAAAGCTTCGAAGCAACTTTAGATAGGATCTAAACAATGGGCGACGCGCCAATGGCACTACCTACCCACAAACGTCACCATCGCCTTCATATTGGATTTTTATTGAGCAGAAGTCGTTGACTAATTTGTGAAGTCCTAGCTCATTTCTATGGAATCAATTTGTCGAATTTTTTTTTGGTATGTCGACCGTGTTATTGCAATGAATCAGTGTGATTCAATCCATCACACTAGACCACAGTGCATCCAAAAGTCGGACTGTGCTTCTTGACAGTGCACGGCGCTGCTACGTATTCATGCGATACGTATCTTCAGACAACTAGTGACAACCGGAGTCGGCAGTTAGGGCATTGAGCCCCCATTTCTCTCGTTCCCAAATAACTAACCGAGTGGCAAAGAGTGTCCAGCAGATTCCTCGATGTGGATGATGTCAAAAGCACCGTGAAGCTTCTCAAGATGTCCGATCACACGTACACGACCTACGTTACGTCCGTCACCCGACCAGAGCGAGGTTCCCAGCTTGGAACTTGACGTAGTCAGTGATTTTGTTTGAGGTCAGGTCGATGAATACGGTATGGTTTACCTTGGAAAGAACACTCTCTAGATCCACAGTCACGTTCTGATAACTACAGCCTTGGAGAAACAGAATCGGCAGATAACATATAATTAGCAGAAAAAAACAGTCAATACTACTCGTAGTTAGCCTTGCCACGCAAGAGATGACAGTGTCCAACAGAGAGAGCTCTGTTCTTTTTTATTTCCAAATTTGCAATTGCATGTACAACTTGCTCTTCTGTAAAGGAGACAAACGCGGATTGCTCCGAGTCTCCAAGACTGGGTTGCTGACTTTGGCCAAGAGCCCCCGTTCTGTATCTCATGTGATGGAAGCGAGACTACAGAAACACCAACCTGGTTTGACCACAAAAACTCATCAACATTGTTTTAACAATGGCAACTGTAGCATAGCACAATCGCAGGTTATCGACATACTACCTTTGTTCCAATCTTGTTTACTGGAACTTTTGGAGGTTTTCCTCGGAAAGATATTATAGTTGCTTACGGATTGGATCAATTCGTTATGGTATTACTTAAGCATTTGGGCTTGTACTATACCGTAGCGATGCTATTTAATCATATGCACACCAATAAAGTGATGATAAAAATGATTAATGTGACAAACAAATGTCCTCAAAGAAGAAGCAGTAAAGCACTGACCACACAATCAGTCCATTAAACCATATATACCGCAATTTACCTTGAAATTGGACCTGGTTGTATCAGGCTTCATACGACCTTGACACTATCTCCCCATTGTAACTTGACAGTGTCCATAGAGAAAGGGGATTGTGAAAGCACAGGAGCAATAAAGAATCACGCGAAAGCGCCGAATGGATGATGTATGTAGGCAGAATACAAGCAGGTCCGCATTTCGGTCCCTAATAGTAGCGGCCTCATTGATCGCGCTTCTATCAGCTGGAGAGGACAGACAGAGCGTTGTACGTCTGAATGAGTTGTCCACCCCGCAAACTGCCTCAAATGGGCGGTGCGACCCCACCCATCGCGACAGACGGCCGCTTCCTCCCTGTAACCTTGAATGACATGGACAAAGCTCGAATATATCCTGGGCATTAACACGTACAATGTCATGGACGATGGCGCGCGCAATGACACGAACAATTAACAGCCGGCAATAATTGTAAAAGGGGGATATGTTCGTTATACCAGAGAAACCACTGTCTTCATTTAAGCAACTGCAGGTAGCGGGCTTGGGGATTTGAAGGGTTTGGTGGAGTTTGCGTATCACTGCGCCTCGAAGATAGATTGCGAGCGCGCTCCATGATTTTCACTCTTAAGAAGTTTCTTTTCTTCGAAATGGGTCAAAAACTCTTGACCTTTCTAACGCAACGTTGCATATCACGTTTTAGGCTCTACTGTTCCAGTGTTGATCGTTTTGTAGCAGGGAATTTTATAGGTAGCAGTGCGTTGTTTCACCTATTCAACGTTTCAAGTGGGCATCGTTTTCATGTAGAAATATCAGTCAAGCTTCCCATCCTAAATCGCCCATAACAAAGATGTTAGGAATTGGAGAGTGATCCTTGCCTCTTCTATCGTCAGCGTTCCCATCCTGCCTCCTCTACTCCTACCGATTTCGAACTCCCCAACTCCACGGAAACAGGAGTTACGAATCTCAGCTCATACATTTATTTCACGCAAACCCCGCCCTTTGCGGACGGAGTTCAGCCCTCCTGCCTACTATGAGTGATCCCATACTGCCGTATGAACTCCTAAAAAGTTGATGACAAAGGAACGTAGAGGCATAAAGCAACTCACGCAAAATGTAGTGGCCTCGAGATGGGAAAGTGCTATATAGTAGAGGTTATTCTGTAGAGTATAAATCAGAGCTGGTATGCAGACCTTCACCGTTTCGACAGAGTTGTCGCAGATGGCTTCCTTCAGTTCAAGAAAAAATCTGAAATTGTTGATAACGTCTGACTGTTTTTTACAGTCTGTGTTATAGCAAAGCTCCATAAAAATGTGCCTTGCACAATAAAAAAGAAACGGGCCAGTAAAGTTCCATTATAAATAGGTGCTCAAGGTTTTTCCTACGCATCACAACAAAGACTGGCTGTTAGATGCTGCGACGAAAGGCCATTCTAGGGGCCGATCATCGAATGCTAAATGTTCGAGCGCATAGTAAGAGTATTTCAGCAGAAAAATGATATTCGAAGGCCTTGCTCTTTTTCTTGAGTTCTGGTTCTCCTTCTTCTAGTTACTTCTTCTTTTGTTTTAGTGAGTTTATTGCTTTATTGCACCGAGTATAATTACAGCATTCAAATGATGACCGCATTACCTAGTCATCGTAGCTGCTACGAAAAGATAAGAAGCCGTACCCCAATCTGCCGATGCAAACTTTCTAATGGTTGGAGTGGAAGAAGTTGCTGGAAGTTCTTTGCTCAGCTGCACTCGTCAATCCATCTGTGTAGTCGCTATGTCGTCCCGTTGGTTATCTCCTTTCATCGATGCAGGTGTATCTTCCTTCTACGAAGCTGAGCTGCAACTAGGACGCTTTTCGACGTCCTTAGCTCCTCGTATCCTTGGTGCAACAAGTCTCCTAAAGAGTGTTAGCTCTAATGATTCCCACGTGCTATCATGATTCAGGTGCTCTCCTACCCCATCGTCCAAGTCTCTGAGGCGCTGGGCACCACAATACCGCTCTCGAGAGCATTGTACGTCATTTGGAATGAAATGAGAAGTGATGGAGGTCGACAGTAGCTACTTCGTGAATGCTAACATGCTTATGTATATCGCCGAACATCGAGTAGTAGGGACACATACTGGCTGAAAGGACAGCGCTTGTGGAATAATGCGCTTGCTACTGATTTCGATGAAAGCACTGTTCGTAAGAGATTGAATGATTTTGATGCTTTCTTTGCCCGAACGAACGTTTATGAATACCTCGGCTACGTATACCTAGGAAAGTCAACATGATGAACGATTTATCTCCGTAGCTCAGCAGAAAGGAATGCGCGTTGCAAGGAGCTTTTCAGAACAGCGGGAAAGTGGTGAAAAAGACGAAAAACATTTGGAACTTTTGGTCTTTTCTACAGTGCATTCCTGGTTTCTTGAAATACGCCTCAAAGGCATGGACTCTAGCAGGTGAGCCGCACCCTTCATATGGTTTCGCGATGATCGTTGGACTAGAGAGTTTACGTATTGGATACCTCGGGACATCGAACGAACACCATGAGGGCCACCAGCCCGATGTTCAAAATGGAACACAAAGGATCTGGGCGTGAAGAATGGTCTGTCTCCTGCTGGAGTCAGCAGTCCAGGAAGCACCACTACAGTGTTTCAAATCATAATTTTGCTCGACCACTGTAGCCATCACACCAATTGAAAATATTTCGATTGCACACAATCCTACTATATTTAACGCGCTAATCTGTGTTTTTCTATGTCTGTGTGTATGTGTCCGACAGGAAAACTCATAGCTCCTATACCGCTGACCTAGGATGTTCAAATTTGACATCAGTATGGGGGACAGGATAGAAACTTTTATGCAAGACCAGACTCGCCCCAGGAACGAGGCGTGCGCGAAATAAATGTTTGAGCGGAAAATCATAACTCTTGGTCCTAAAGCATTAAAATTCGGCTAGGATTAAAGACTACTGGAGGCAGGATGGGAACGTGTGCGGTGGATGGCAGGACCCCCCCCCCCTATGGGAGGCGACATTTGTGCAAAAATTCTCAGTTCGGCTCCATAGCTTTAAATCTAGGTTTGGGACAGACGGTACTAGGGGAACACTTATGGTGGGTAGTAGAGCCAGACCCCACAAGTCCTCGGGATCAGGAATTATGGATTTTCGCTCAGACATTTATTTCCCGTCGGGGCTGGATCCCATAATCCCTGATCCCGTGGACTTGGAGAGCAGGAGCAGAGGAGGTAGAATGGGGACACCGACGATAGAAGAGGCCTCAGAGAACAAATCCATTCATCAATCAAATAGCAATAAAACATAATAAATAAAGGACCACGGTTTCTCTTGGATATCACTCTCGGCGAAACTTATTTTGCCACTATTGTTCTTGGATTCCCATTAAATGACGTATCCGTAAAGAAAAGGAGCTACATTCATGAGGCATTTGATAATGGCACTATTATGACTAGACAAATTTGTGAGAACCATTCAAGGCTTTGGATGCCTACCAGTTAAACTTTCAAGTGGGCCATCATTTTCAAGACGAACAACAACAAACGGAGACTTCTAATTATTGGTATAAGCATCGGCTCATTTTGATTACCACTTACATGCCCTGTAGGTCCTCTGCTGTTCCGAAAAATATCACTTGTTTCAAATAAGGAAGGGCCGGTCTGCTGATTAGTACAACTTTTTCATAAGAAGGAGGGAAGCCGGTCTTATTGATTGCCTTGCATTCTGATCGTGAGCTAATACAGTATGGAGAGATGCCGATCCTGCATACATGGTGAGGGATGCGGATCTCTGACCACACCTAGTCCTTACCGATTAAATCATTAAATCAGTCATCAAATAATGATAAAAAGCAAAAGTTCAGAGAATGAGAAAAATAGTGATGGACCTCCGCAAAAAGCAGAATATTTTCGAGGATCGCAGCCTAATACCTGTTTCTCAGCACCCCCTTCTGTGATCGAGATTTGTTCACCTCTCAAATAAGTAAGGCAGTGATGTCGTGCGTGTCACATGTTTCCTAATTGCTCTACTGCACACGATGGTTTGGACTCTATTTGTGAGCTGAGAGATTTCTACTTGGATCCCTCAACTCGCAAAGTTTTTATGAGGTTTTCAAAGTACAACGCAGTCCCGTGTTTTTTTTAAACTTTTGTTCCGAGCTGTAAGAATCATAGGGATCAATTAAGGCTTCAAGTCTTCATCCACTATCTTTAGATGGAGAGGTTTTAGACCATTATTTTCAAGTCGACTATGTTTTGATCATTCAATTGTAATTCTGTAAGGAATCCTTGACCACTTGTTAAAATTTCTGTCGAGTGGTTCGTTTCGTCCCTCACTCAGACGAACCGCTTTGTTCTCACTGTCTCTCGGGGCTCGTCACTAAGTAAGGGACAGTAGTGACCAAAGGATATGTAAGGAGTCAACGTCGTGAATCAACTATCTATCACTAGAACGGAGTGTATCATGATAACGAAGTAGAATAACAAAGAAAGACGGAAGGAGGACAAAAAATGTAAGTCGTCCGATAGAAGGATACTGTACTAGGAATTTGTCCTACAGTCAACGGAGCGTATTATCTGTCGAAGATGTAATACGGGAAAGCTTTACAAAAATTTCTACAAGTACCTAGTTGTCTGGTTGCAAATAAGTCATAGACAAACTTACTAGGTTTAGTAAATTTAGTATCTAAGCCGTATTTATAGCTGAAGAATTTGTTTCTATAGATGCATTTTACAATACTGGCTATAACAAATGTTTCTTTAAACTCACTTTTAATCAGTTGTTCCATCACTTCTCTAACTTTAAAGGCACAGTTCACGATAATTTTGGGGTATCTCGTTTTTGACAGAAAATGATAGGTACGGCCCACAATAGTATGTACAGTGGTTAAGCAGAAAACACGAAAAGCGATGAATAAAAAGAAATACAGAGCTTTAAAAAAGGAGTGAAAAGGGGGGTTGGACGAGTTACACAGCGAAAAATGGCGGTTAAGGGAATTCTCAGGCGAGTCAGACGCGCAGTGTCTGAAATTGCACACAACACANCAAAACAGCTGATTTTGGCTTCTTCGTTAATATTATTTATCCTACTGCTGATGTTAAGCTGAAATATTATGCAGAATCACTTTTCCACTTTTCGTCGACGGTTGAGAATAATTAATTGGAACGGGATAGAGTAGAATGTTAGTCGAATAGTAGGAGTACAGCCGAATACTATTACCAGTAGGAGATGGTCGATTAGCTTATTGATTTTTCAGTAATGTTGCTCCAATGCCAAAGTGGTGAACGGCAATTAGATTTTGTAGTCAACCTAACGAGGGGTGGAGGGCGACCGTGGCTCACTCTCCGACCCCCTATTGTGCCCTATCCAGACGTTTTTCGACTTCGTTGGTACATACATACGGTATCAGAGGGGGCCCCGAATTCATGCCATGTGCAAATCTCTATCTCTCTCAACCATTAATGATTAATCGATCTCAACCATTTTTACCGTGAACCGTGCCTTTGATAATAAAATTATGCATTTAAGTACACGCATTGGCTATCCCAAGAGTCTCAGAAAAGATCATGAATGGAGTGAAGCCTATAGCCTACATGTCTGCAAAATCAGCCGTGTATATTTTTGATTCATTACTTTTTAGATTTCTTAACTCATGACTAATATTAATATTATTAATTGACCAACAAATGTTGATAGTCCTACTACATTCTTCAACCATGTTTACATTATTAATAAAATGGTTTTCGAGGAAAGTGAAAATATTGTGTAATTCTAATGTCAGTGGATTAAGGTTACAATGTTTAGCACCTGTTATAAATCTGAACATAATGGGATTTTTGTGAAGTTTAGGTAGAGCATAGATACAGTACCGGTCAGTGAAGTATTCGTTTTCACTTTTTCAAACATAACTTCCTCAAANTATATGGTAGGGTAGCTTCCTTTCTAATATCGAGTTTATATTGAAACATATAGTTTTCAATTTACTGGTAAGCTGTTTTTTATCGATGTTTTGTATGTGTTTTGTAAGTGAACACACACATTACTAACTTTATCATATTCCCACTCTTTGTTAGTTACATTATAGCTAACTCCCACTCCCTTAAGTAAAACAGTAAGGTATAATTTTTTGCAAGCGATACCATAATTATTACTGGCCTTATCTAACGGGCAAAGAATGAATAAATTTTGATATTTTCTGATTGGTTCTTTTGGTATTTTTCTCTAGTGCCGTTGATATTATTTTTGGACAAGATAGGTTTCATTTTTGTGTAACAGCATGTCTTGAAATACTCTTTAGGCTTCCCAATAAATCGCCCCCATTATTTAATTTATATTTCTATATGTAAAAGTCAATGACTTTTTTAATTCTTTGTTCATACAGCTTTTTAATATTTTTCCTACTAATCCTTTCGGCTATTTTGTATTTAGTACCTTCACACATTATGTCTCTGAAGTTTATTTCTTCAATTAATTTAAAATCTCCTGTAACTATGTGACCCAACTCTTTACTTATATATATACCAGTTGGGCAATGCATACTTATGCATGCATTCTATGCCCACGACCGCCCATAGGCTTAAAACTTCTGCAGGTACTTTATCAGGTGATATCGATTCCCGTACAAACAGATAGACGGACAGACAGACGCGAGCGCTTTAAATATAGTGAAGATCTTTCATTTTCTTTATCCTTACATATACAAACATAGACTCTCATTCAAATTGTTAGAAGTAGCACTTCTTATAAAGCTACTGTAGTTGAAGTTCAAGTTAGACAAGCTTTATTTTATCTATATTTTATTCTAATTAGAGTTATCTTTCTTAAGCTGTACTCTGACAGATCCTCAAAAGTTTCTGACAACAGGGAAATTTGATGCTGCATTAGATTCATCATAAACTGTCTTTGGATCTTAATACTAAACTCACTTGATTAAAGATTTAGATGAGGCTGTAATCACGGCTGCACAAGTGAGCAATTTCACCACTTCCATCATAAAGACATTGACGGTAGTGAAAAAGACATCCGACTCACTGCGGTATCGTGTATAGCGCGCTAAGAGAGGCATGCTGAAAAGAACGGTATTTGGCTTGAACGTTTTGGTGTAGGAGCTTATGGTAATGAGATTCATGAGGTGGAAAGTGTAAAATTTCTTATAAAAGAAAAGAAGCAAACCAAACATGAGGGGGGAGTCGCTTGTCCTGAAAATCACAAACTTCCTAGTAAAAAAAATGATGTTTCTCGGCAAACCTATCGAGATAACTGAAGCAAACATATGGATGGTTCGGAATGGAGACTGTATAGAGCGCATGGAAGTCTTACCAAGCAGTTGCGCAGATTTTAAAGAAAACTCTGTTGCTTAAGGAATAATGAACTATGTTCGTTTTGAACCTTCCCGCTGGATTGGTCTGATTGTTGCAAACACTTATTTAGGATATAGTAGATGAACGGGTGAGAAGGATGCACTCAAAGGAGGGAAAGAATGTCACCAGGAAGAGAGAGAAGAACGACGACATAAAAGGGTGATCTTGATTGGAGTAGGTGAATTCCCTTCCAACTTGTTCGACTACTTTCTAATCGAATCTTCCACTGGTTGTAGACTTTATCCTTATCATGTCATTCATTGATTCGAAACGACTGAAATAAACGAGAGACATAGAAAAGTGATACCCAACATTCACAGGTTTTTAGTGATCGAATATTTCCAACGGGAAACGAATTTCTCAGCCAGTGTTTCTCTAATGACTCCACGTTTTGACTCACTAACTTCACAAAAGCCTTATAGAAACCGCAAAGAATTTCTAAACATGAAAGAAAATCGGTGCTCAAACTCACCTAGCCTGCTGCATCGTAAGCAAGACCAAACCAGCATATTTGAATGTCGAATGATGTGCCATACGTGCTGTTAAGAAAGTAATATTCTTTATAAGGAAGTCTCCAGATGGAACAATCTGTGAACCAAATAGTAATTGCATGTATTGCCAAACAAAAGATATGTAAAAAGAATACGCTGCAAACAAGTGGACGACAGAGTAGGAAAATAGAAACGACTTAACGGCAAGTTTACTTGCCTCTAGTAATCTCAACGGACTGAAGTTACTACGGATCTCGTCTGGACAGCCAGACCAACGATGAAATATGTGCACGTAATAGGGTAACACTTTGGTGTTGAGAGTTAAGTAGTCGCTGACGCTTACAGATAAAATATCACTATCCCTCGTTCACTTAATGATCTAAAAATCACATCTCTTTCAACATGCGGATCGATTTTCCTCTCTGGAACAAGAGAGGCCCACAAAGATCTGAGGGTTATGAGGATATCAAAAAGTATCGGGTCCAGAGGCTACTATACAATGCTCTTTCAGCATCGCCATTAGGCACTTTTTTTTTACTTCATCGCTACTTTTTCTTTTAAAAACTTGTTCGCCGTCTCAACGCAAGCACAACTTTCTCCACAGGTGTTGGACGATCTCATCAGGTTGATCTGTTCTCCGCTCACCCCTTATCGACTTTCTTCAACTTCGAAATTGGGCGAATCATGGCCCGCCTTGAGCATAAGGTCATTTCATTCAAAGTGCCCATTCATTTGAAGGTATGGTGACAAAAGGAAAGGGCAAGTCCCATCGACACTGTTATGATCGCTATGCAATACTGCTAGTTAGCAAAAAAGGAATCACGGTTAATATCCTCACTATATATAGACTAAATAGCCAATGTGCTGGAAAAAGATTGTCAAGCGTATTGGTTCAAATTCTCCATTTATTAGCCTTCATGTTTGCAAATGGAAGAAACTGTTGTACGGAGTGATCTTGCCTTCTAACTCTAATGATTCACCTTTACCAGGTTTCTGCCCTTTCTGTACGTCATCCTTCCATGCTCGCTCTGCTGCAACCTACTTAACAACTCTGAATGGCTCAGATCAGCTGCTAACTCAAAAATGCACAGTTCTCCTGAGGTGTCCAGCTCGAGCGAAATTATGATGGCTATATGTGGAGTAATACCCAAACACGAATAAAGCGTAAAAATCGCCGGGTATCAGGAAATATAAGACTTCAGAGAAATAGTAAAATAGGTAATCAAACGAGCTTTAAATTTCTTAAACGTCTGGGTGCCTCTTATATGAGCTAACTAGTTGTCGGCGGTCCTTCACTGCAAACGCTGCAGCCTTACAAAGGCGTCTTTGATAAAAAACTGATCACATGCTCCTTTGTAAATTCCTCATGCTATCCATATGCACAGTTCCCTATAGAAATGGTTTCTGAGATTTTTTTTTCCAAGATGAACCTGTGACCCCCAAAAATTGTCCGTGAGACATCGTCGGGTGGAAAAAAGACCCTGACAGGGCGTTTTAGGAGCTTCAAAACCGGCTTGGCAAAAATCCTATTCACATGAAAGTAGCTCAAAAAAGGAGGGAAAGGCATCACTAAGCTGAGCGACCAGCTCTGGGATCATAAAGTGTAGGCAATCTGATCCAGCCCAAGCTTATTCACGTTTACGTATTATTCGCCCTTTTCCTCGAGCCCTTTGCCTTGGAAACTGCGACAGTTTTCAAGGCAGAGGATAGGCTTATGATAAATTTTCGCAGCACACTTCCCAAGACTTTCATGCTACATTAATTGGCAGAGTGAGAGAGATGAAGAGCGATATTCCAATATAACGATAAAGATAAGAAAGCCTGTAGTCTCGACAGCTTCCTTCGTGACCTTGGATGCAAGTTCTAATCTACAAACATTGGAATACTGCAAAATTGTACTTCTAAAGATTTATTGTTGAAGCCTCTAGGGAGCAATACAGAGTCCTTCTTCTTTGCTACAAATGCAGCCAGTA